TTTTATATTTTTATCAAGTCAGCTTCGACCACTGCCTTTTCCCTGGGAATGCATTCAGCACTACATGTCTCAATGAATGCTCTCCCAATCGGTAAAGGTACACATTTATCATAGACAATGAATTTTTCAGTGCAACAATAGCAGTGAGCGATTGTCAAAGAAGGCTGTTTTTTTAAAAAATAGTTCTCCACATTCAAAAAGCACCTCAGAACAGGGCTTCCTAGGAAAAACAAAATGGTAGCGGTTCCAAGTGCAACATCCCATCCATTGCTAGAACATAAGATGCCTCGCCCCTGAAGCAAAGCAGCTGAATTTCAGGTACACGAAAAAGCTGACAAATGGTCCTTGATTGTTGAGAGCCAATGTGGCATCACGGTTGAAAAACAGGCTAAGATGCGAAATCCTTTTTGACTATTCAGTGAAATGGGTGGTATCAGGTCAGTCTCTCTCATGTGAAGATGAAGCAAAGGGACAAGCAGAGGGGGGAAAGGAGTTACGTGTACTAACCTAAGTTCTTTGGAGTAAAGGTAGGATATGTGTGTAACTAATAAGTAACTGTAGATAACTAGTGTGGGGTAGTGGATAAAGTGAGAGACCAGGGTTCAAATCCCCACTCAGGCATGGAAACTCACTGGGGTATGTGTGATGGAACTAGTAAAACCACTCCTTAAGTATCTAACTTACCTTGAAAGCACTACTAGGGTTGCTATAAGTTGGTTCTGACTTGACAGCGCACAACAACAAATAAGTACAGTGGTGCCTCGCTAGACAATTACCCCACATGACAGTTTTTTCGCTAGACATTGACTTTTTGCGATTGCTATAGCGATTCGCAAAACAGTGATTCCTATGGGGGAATATTACTGGACAATGTTCGGTTCCTGCTTCGCAAACTGATTTTCCCTAGACAACGATTTTGACAGCTTCCTCCGCCTTAGCAAAACAGGTGTTTTCGTCACCTAAGCATCGCGAGACAGCAATTTCAACAGCTGATCGGTGGTTCACAAAGCGGCTTTCCTATGGCCGATCTTCGCTAAACAACGATGATTCTTCCCCATTGGAACGCATTAAACAGGTTTCACTGCATTCCAATTGGGAAATGCTTTTCACTAGACAATGATTTCGCTAAACAGCTATATCAGTGGAATGGATTATCATCATCTAGCAAGGCACCACTGTAACTAAAAAATAGAGGATGGAGAACTGGATTTTGAGCTATCACTCCTTCCCACTGGTTGTGTCAACTATGGCTGAATGAAATTATCCTCCAACAACATCTGAAAGATCATAAATGTCCCATCTTTGCTGTATATATGATTATCTAGTTATAGAAATGATTTGTATGCTTCCTTCACTGGTACATGAGATTCTAGTCTGATTGGAGATGTATGCCTACAAGCCCAGCTCTTTGCAGTACACACCCATTACCTTTGCTGGATCATAATTTTGTAAAGCCTGTTCCCTGGCCTTTTTCCTAATGAGACGAGGGGTATGTGCATTATTGTTTGTATTTCTGTTTCCTCCTTGTCTTCCTCTCTTTTCCTGGAATCACTAAATGCTGTTTGACATTTCAGGCCCTTCTTGGTGTCCCCCCCACAGCCCTAATCAGCGTAACGGTTGCAGAGATAACATAGCTTCCAATCCACAAGGCAGTGAAAGGACCAAAAGGGTCCTTGCGCAACATGCACTGCGCAGAACTTCATCATGTTGCAGTGCTTAAAGGAACGGAAGGCAAAAGAATAAAATCAATAAAATATTCAAAGCTTTCACATTATAAGCTGTAGCAAAAACTTTTCACCAAATGTTTACTGTATAATAAATTCTATTAAAAAGCTCAAGCTTGCACGGTTGGGGCGGAGGGAGAGGGGGCTGGAACGCTGTCACTTTAATTGCAATGGCATAAATATTTGATATTCAGTAAATTAGATCTGTAGCTATGAAAACATTCTTGCAAATGGATTTTTACCTGTAGCACAGTGCCATTAGCGGGGGAAAAAGTCAGCACTGCCTCGGGGCCTGTAATTAACTCAACCCAAGCAGAACTAAACATTTTTGACAGTTTTCCTGGTCTGGAATTAACTGTCATAGCAGAGAATGAAAGAAACTGCATTGTCACATTATGTTTACGTAAAGTCTGTAAAATGCTGTGTTCTGTATTTTTGTTTTGTTAAGTCTGGGTTTCATGCTGTATCATCATCATCATCATCATTATTGTTATTAATCCTGGAGATCAGATGTAGATAACAAATGTTGCATGGACTATCATCAAAGTAGAAATCATGGTTTTGGAACCATAAGGGTGCAGGCATTAGCTCCTGGAATTTTTGATGTTGTTGGTTGCTTGTTAATAAAGACCAATATGTTGCACACTGATATAAATAATAATGCCGTGACATTTGAAGATATTAAAAACTGTGTATTTTCCCATCTGGATCAAGATTCTGCAGTAATAAGCAGTTTGGCTAGCCAGTGTCTGTATATCTCCTTTTGGATTGTGTGGTTTCCTTCCCCCCTCTACTCCACCCTTCTGTTTATGAAAATAACTGTCACTCTACTGGAATGCAAAACCTGGAGGGCAAATCTGCTTAATGCTTCTCTGAAAGCTACTTATTATCCAGTGGCTAAGAGGAAAGCAGAACAATAGTCATTGAAAAGATGTACAGGGCCTCATTTCCTGGCATTTTGCCCTAGACATTATTTTACATCATGGGAGATGTATGTGTGTGCATGGGGGTGTCCCTGGAACTCAGATTAAGGGTACTAGTCCATCAGCATTCCCACTCCCCCATATAAAAATTTATTTA